AGATGGAGGTGGAGAATCAAATACTTCACGTTCTCATCAAGAGCCGGGTCATGCCATCTAAAGTAGTTGCAAGCTCCCGTTCTCTGTACAAACGCAAAACAAGGAAAAGAAATTTGAGAACCCAGCAATTGAATAGAGCAGCAACGGTTGAACAGAGCAGCAGAAGAAAGAAAAGCACAGGAAGAAGAAGAAGAAGAAGAAGAGAGGAAGAAGACGGGGAGTTGGTCTTAGGCAAAATACACTTGTATAGCCAAAACTTTGACGATTTTGCCAAATATAGCCACTTTTGACGAAATACCAAATATAGCCATTTCCGTCCAATTCTTTGACGGCGTGACTTACGGTGCTGACTGGATTAATGGATAATCCGATGTGGCGATTTTCGTCCGGTAAGTATTTTCCACGTGGAATTAAAAAAAAAAAAACAGATCAGCCACGCACGCCCTCTCTCTTCCTTTTCATTTTTCCTTTCCTCCACAGTCGACATCTTCTTCCCTTCGAACCCTACTCCCCCCGACGAAGACCACGAACAGCTGAGGCGAAGTCCAGAACGGCGGCGGTGTACGCCGACGAGGAGCGCCCCTTTCCCCATCGATCCCGGCAACGACAAACAAAACCCCTTTCCTCCTCATACCAGATTTTCCTCCCACCCAAAACCCATTTCCCGATCGATCCCATCCCAAAACCCCTTTCCTCCGAGTCGGCGGCGATGCTTCCAGGTGGTTAATAGAGGGTCGGCGGAGGCGGCGATGCTTGGTGAGTCGGGTCGGGGGAGCGGTAGTTTGGGAATTTCATTTCTGTTTTCTGTTCCCACCCTTTCTCCCTCTCCTTCCCTTCCCCACAACAAAGAAACTTTTGCTCGAATACCCTTTGTTTGCTTTCCCATTCCATCATATCACAGAGAGAGAGAGAGAGAGAGAGCGCAGAGAGATAGGTAGACAGAGAGGCAAAGCGCAGGGAACGAGCTGAAAGGAAATAAAGAGAGGTAGAGGGAGAGAGGGCGTAGCTCTGAATCTAATTTCTAGGGTTCTTCCGAATCCCCAAATTTACCATTTCCCAATCCATTGCTTCGCCGTCACCACCACCTGCTTCGTCTTCGATTTCGGCCTTGGACAGCTTTAATGGTGGCGTTGTTGCTGATTCGCTGCTGCTTGCTTCTTCCCCAATCCACACTCCCGTTCTAGATGACTCCACCTCCACCAACCGAATGGCTCCGTTCCTCCCCTCTCTCCTCCTCTTCGCCCTCCTTGCTGTCGCCGTCGCGGGTTCTTCTGCTTCTCCTTCTTCCGATTCCGATGAATCAGCAGCCTACCTCTCCCTATTTCACCAAAAAATTGTCAGGTCGGGTTGAACAGCGGAGGCGAAGGGGTAACCGTTCAGAGGAGGCGGCGGGCCTCCTTTAATCAGCGGCGGCCGTGCAGAGGAGGGGCGGCGGTGATGGGTTCTGAAACCCTAGATTCAATGGGGGAAGTGAAAAAGAAAGAGGAAGGAGAACGAGGCTCGCGTCCCCGATTTTTTAAGGCTGCCGAAATTTTTTTTTTTTTTTTAATGACGTGTCGTCCTACATGTCACTGAAGTATGAGGTGTAAGCGACGGAGAGGCTGAGAAGGCAGCCAAGTCAGCATTCCGTTTATTCCACTAACGGTGTCATTAACACTGTTAAAGAATGTAACGGAAATGGCTATATTTGTCATCAAACATTCAAATTTCTAGCTATATCTGGTATTTCGCCAAAAATGGTTATTATTGTCACAAACGTCAAAGTTTTGGCTATGCAAGTGTATTTTGCCTTGGTCTTACTCCAAACTTTGCGCACCCGTAAAACCTCCTACCCGGATTTGCATCTGTCCAACTCGTTCTCAGATCGGCTGGATCTCCACAATGACAGCAGGGACCGGCCATTTCTCAAGCTCGAAGAAGAAGGTTCTGTCGAAGGGGGCTTTGATTGGGGAAATTAACCCTAATATAGATGGAAGAATGGGAGGGAAACCCACTTTTTTTTCCCGCCCAAGCCATGTCAGCGATTAGTTGGACTAAAAAACAGCTTTTCGTGTTCCAGCTTGGCACCCCGTTTGCCACGTCAGCAAAAGTATAACGGCGTTGACGGTGTGTAACGGCGAGTGACCAATGATGACATAAAGGTGTATTATCAGTGGCTGAATTGAAGCGAAATGGATTCGGGTGGCTAACGTGTTACAAAAGTGTAATATGGGTGACCAAACTTGCAATTCACCCTTATTTCATTGTAAAATGATTTACCGTGTAGAATTCATTATCAAATGAAATCTTGTGTTTAGTATGTCATATTCAAATCGTTAGAAATAAAATAAATTGTCATGTAGAATTCATTGTTAAATGAATTCATGTGTTTGGTATGCCATAAGTATAAGTAATTTAGTTAATAAAAGAGGATAATTATGTCATTCTATTATAATTAGTAAATACTTGTGGAATTCATTTGGGAAAATTTCATCTCAATTCCTCAGAATTGCTATAACTAGTTCCAATTCCATAGAATTCAAAATTTAGAATTGCAAATGAATTCTCTTATATATCAAACACAAAAATGTTTCATTTCAAAATAAATTTCTCAAAATTTATGGAATTAATTTATACCAAACGGTATGTTAGAGTTTTAAAATTCATCAACATACACTGAATTTATTATTCTGTATTCATACGATAACCTTTTCTGTATATTGTTTGGTTGGGTTTTCTCAATAAAAAAAAATAGGATGGATAAAATAAGGAATTTGGTCCATATTGATCCCCACGAAATATTCCATATATTCTCAACAACCTTCTTAATCGTGATTGGATTGTGTCTGTTTCCCATCTACAAAATATATAATGGCAAAACATGGGTTGGATTTTCAGGGATTTGAAAATGGAGGCTTGAGAGTGATTCACGGATGGGCTTTGTTGTCATTTTACATTCACCAAATAAATGATGCTATGCGTTTTGATGTTCAGTTGTTCATAGCTAAATTCTGACTCCCATAGATGGCTATTGTAGGGCCCAATTAGGTCTAGATGGGCTTCACATTAATTCATGCAACTATCCAAGTTATCGGTGAACCCTCATATCCAAACTACAACTCTAGCACATCCATTCCAATTAAAACGCATGCAGATCTCAATCAAGAAAAATATCTCTCAAACATCAAGCCTGAAATTTTTACAATCAGCAAGCAGCCAATTTCCCACCAACCAACAATTTGTCAAGATCTAAAGCCCACCTTATAATTTTCTGCCTAACCAAAAAACAACGAAAGATGAACAAGATAGATAGAACGGACCCAAAATGAAATTTCACAAACTATCAAACTATTCACTCAGTTGAGGAATGAGCGGCTATCAGTACGCCGGGCTTCAGGTGCTTCGTTTCACACTGCCAACTGTGAATGGAGAAGAAGAATTTTGAAGGCAAAGTTGAAGAAGGACTTGGGAGGTTTCTAGGTTTTTTCCGATTCCGGACAGTGGGAAATATAGTGAATTAGAAAGCTTTTTTGTCTGTTCTTTTCTTGCTTCCATTTTATCTAATTAGAAAGAGCAAGAAGTAGAAAAATAGAAGGAAGAAGAAGAAGAAGAAACTAGAGAGAGACGTTGGGCGGCTGACCTTGATGAGAAATCACAATGGGAGGGCTTATATGGGTCTGGACTCTGGCCACATCAATATGACCAAATTACCCTCCTCTAATTGTCAGAAATAACTGCTGAAAACAATTTATAAAAATTAATTTTTAAATGCAGCTGATGCGGGAGCTCAAATAGAAACGCTTTATATTCCATTACAAGTGTACAACTATTCTACCACTTAAACTACTATAAAAAATTTTGAACATTCAATTGGAAATTCATAATTTTGTTCCTTCAACATAGTCCAGTTTATATATTCAATCGCCAAAATCAATTAATATAACTAATATAATATCGCATTTTAATTGCGATCTCAAGGTTGTGTTTTCATGTTCTCGCTCTTATTCGTGAATTGGTTTTCTAAGATAAAAATTAGGCATTTAATTGTAATTTCCCTCTGCCTTTCTTAAGTGGGTATTTATTTTAGTAGGATGACAATGACACTTGGCTAATTTTTTTCATTAAGTCATAGCCTCAAATACACGTGGGCATCAAGTGAAAATGCAATTCATACAAGTAGGTTCCACGTGTTTTTCTTTTTTGCTTCTCTTGCCCAATTATTATTACAAATACATCGAACTGAACAACCGAATTTGCTTCACATCACATCATGCAATTTGAACAAATCACATTAAATCCAAATATTTGGATCCAAATATAACATGACACCAAAAAAAGTGATCAGGCAAACTAACAGCATACGACACAAAGAAGGGATGGGAAAGAAAGGAAAATAGTTTGCGGAGAAATAAGAAAAAGGCTTCTAATGGCGCCTCTCAGTTCTCACCCTCTCTCCTTCTGACTATAATCGAGTGAAAAAGGTGATGATTATCACCGCCATTGGGCATTGCGCCTGGCAGGTACTGGTCATCTCAAGCTACAGAGAAGAAAACCCCACTCCACAAAACTTCCTTGGGAAGTATTGCAGTAACCTAGAAACAAACTCCCTTCAGCAGTCGTTACCTTGCCTCTTTCAGTGAGCTTAAAACCGTGAGGTTTGTGTTCGCCCAACTATAGTCTGCGGTGTGGGTTTCGGCGACCAATCTCGTCCCCAATTTGGTTCTGGAACTGAAAAGGAACCGAATCCCAAGCCCTAACTTGAAGCTCTGCTGCACCAAGGATCCTGTCCACTAAGCAACGCAGAGAAAAATCGAGGGTCTCGGCGGTTTCAGCATTTTGGCTCCCGCCTTTTCGTGAACAAGGTAATTACTACTCTATCTGATTTGGTATATGATATACACTGATGGTTAATTGCTAGAACTCAGGAGAAGCTTGCATATGTCTGTCAGTATATATATGCTTGAATCACCTCATTGGCTGATATGTTGGTTTGGGGTTACTTGTTTGGATCTTTGTGTAGAAGTGGCAGGGATGAACGGAATGTGCGAAGCAAGTGCCGATAGAATTACCAACCTTCCTGTGGAGGTAATACAGCGGATTCAGTTATTGTTGCCCACCCGACGTGCTGCCCAAATGGCCACCTTGTCAACAAAGTGGAGGCGCCATTGGAGAAGTATCCCTCAACTTAAGTTCTTTGCTGCCAACTCAGCTGATCAAGATGAGATGATGATGATGAACAAGTTTATGTTCACCGTATACAAAGTTCTCTTGCTTCATGATGGGCCAATAACAAATTTTAAGCTTGCGTTTGGTGGATTAAGCCCCTGCTTACACAATGAGATTGATCAAATCATCATCTATCTTTCTGATAGAGGTCTCCGTGAGTTCACCCTTAGCTTTCCTTCCCCTGACAGTGTGATTTACAAGTTACATTCTGCCTTGTTTTCTTGTCTTCACCTAAACGGCCTGAAACTCATCAATTGCGAATTTAGACAACCATCACGATTTCTGGGGTTTAGTAAGCTTACCCGTCTTCTTCTGATTCGAGTTACCTTGCCCACTGATTTCTTTGACAATTTCCTTCCCGATGCTTAAAATCTTCTGCCTTATGTATTGCCATGGTATCCCATGTAATCTTGAGATTGTGAATTCATGTCTCCAAAGTTTCAACTTCTATGGGGAGTTTCAGAGAATCTGCTTCAAGGGTACTCCACGTCTGAAGGAAGTTACTATTTTTGACTATAAACACAATGAAAACGTCGAGACGACTCCAGATATGGTAGCTTTCTTTGCTTCTCTGCCAACACTCCAACGATTTTCTGCTGACTTTAAGTTCTTAGAAGTAAGTCTGATTGTTTCCTGTTTATAACTTTTTCCCGGTTCTTTAAAAAATTGGGTTTCTGATACTCATTTGGGTTTGTTCCCAAATTAGTACCTTGCTGCAGGTTATAACAACGTCCCCACCAAGCTTCCTGCTCCTCTGCACAAGTTAAAATTCCTCCAGATCTGTAATTTTGACTTTGGCAGCTTGAGGAATGTGCGTGCTATTGTTTGTCTGATTATGAGTTCCCCCAATCTGTTTGAGCTCAAGATTCAGGTTGGTTTGTGTTGTCAATCTACTTAAAAGTTATTTTCAAAGAATGTAATAAGTATCTATATATGGGGTTATATAAAATATAGTTCATTTTCTTACTTGGTTCCTTTTCAAATTTTCTTGTAGATGGACACTGAGCTAAATCAGCCTGCAACTAATGATGCAGTACCAAGCTTAGTAACCTTGTTGGAAGCAGAACACTGCGGTGGATCCGGTTTGTTGCAGCGCCTTAAAGTGCTCGAGGTCGCATATGTTCGTGGGACACAGGTTGAGTTGGAGCTCGTAAGGTTCATACTAGCCACTGCCCCACTACTTGAGAGGGTTCATATTTTACCCTGTCGCCGCAAGTTGAAGCTCAGAAAGGCTTTTAAATTCATAAAGACGATGATGCAGTATAAGCGTGCTTCTAAAGAAGCTGAGGTCATATATGCAGAGACTTACTCGGCACTGCGTCGTTAATTGTCATTCAGCGGTCATTGCAATATCATCTTCTGCATATCAACTCCGGGAAGGATGCTCTGGGGACATGTGGGAATCTCTGTTGTAGCTTGGTTTAATATTAGTTTATATCCTTGAATGCAAGTAGTTATAAGTTTGGAACAAAAGTTTGACAACCAGCTGGATCCTAATGCCTGTTGTTTTAACGTGTTAATGACTAGTGTTAATTATGTATGGAGGAACATGAAATGTGCAAGGCGTTGTAGTGTTAGTATTTGTAAGAATACTGTGAACGTTCATGACTCTTGAGTTTCTGTTTGTCATTGGCTTTCTTTTGTCTGTTTCTAATCTGGATATTTGTCCTGGAAGAGTTCATTTGAATCTGCATCGCAGCTCTCAACGCCGAGAAGCCAGTAATGACAAGCTGTTGTGGCGTCAGGTGAGAAGGAAGATCGGCACTTCGATATTTAGTTTGACACTTAGATGTGTCGACCAGGGAGTCTTTGTTCGTCATTAGTCGTCTTTTGTTTCTACTTTGGATATTTGACCTAATTCTGCTCATTTCTCTGTGTGTCTCAACTCTCAACTCAATGAACTTGGTGACAAGCCCTTTCAGTGCTTCAGGTAAGGAGCCATGCAAGCGGGTTTTCGATTCGAGTAATGACGAGGGATTAATTAGCCAACTTCCTGAGAATGTAATACATCAGATCCTCATGTTGCTGCTTGCTACCCATCAAAGATGCAGCAAGATCAATTTTACTGTCAAGCAAATGGATGCTTCTCTGGAGAAGCATTCCTCAACCAATGTTCGATGATGGTTTCACGCTACAAATCAGTGAAATCACCGAGCCGAGTCAGTTAAATTCTGAAAACTTACAAGTCTCTGCTGGTTCATGATGGGCAGGTGGCCAAGTTTGTGCTTGCAGTTCCTCGATTAACGACCTGTAATGGGATTGATTGCATCATTGTTCATTTATCTGGAAGGGGTATCCAAGGTTCTACCCTTGTTTTAACCAAGGGTTTTGACAGTGACAAGATTTTTCTTAATCAAATGCCATCCAAATGCTATCCAAGTCTTGTAATCATCAATCTCATTCTTGTAGCGGTTTGAAATTAACCATACATACATGTGATTTCGTACAACCAGGGCTGTTAAATGTATAACCCACAATCAAACTGGCAATCGGTAGTTAGCATAGATAACAGCTTAAAATCTAAACAGTAAACGGTTTGTTACTGGTAGCCAAATTTAGATTACTTGGTCACCAACAGTCAAACGGTTAGTTCGCGACACCAACTAGCCGATTACGGTCATTGTCACAATTAGAGAGAAAAAAGGCCTTAATGAGCCGTAGGCATAGGCAGAATATAATAGGATTAGAAGTGGCAAATGGATTGGATCCACGGATTGGTGGATTGGATTAGTAGATTCATGGATCAAATGGATTAGTGGATTCAACGAACAAGATCTCAGGTTCGAATCCCTTCAGTAGTACCTTAATCACACAAAATTAACCCTATATCACCCTTATCCAAAAATAAAAAACCGATTGGTGGATTCATGGATTGGATCATATGGATTGGTGGATTGATCCATGAATCCAAATGACATCCAAGTCTTGGATTAATATGTAAATTTTAAAAAGTTTAGGTACTCAAATGTCATAATGAAAATTTCTAGGTACAAAAGCGTCATTTTCCAATGACATTTTTCGTATAAAAATAAATTTTAGGTACCAAAATGTAAAATATAGAAAATATAGGTACTAAAACGTTATTTGTCATTTGGATCTATGGTCAACCCATGATTCCACCAACCCAATTGAACTTTGATCAAATGGATTGGATTTAAATGGATTTGATTAGTTGGATATTTAAATAGATGGATTGGATTGGTGTATTGGATAACAAATTGCCACCTCTAAATATTTTACAAATTGAACTTTGATCAAATGGATTGGATTTAAATGAATTTGATTAGTTGGATATTTAAATAGATGGATTGGATTGGTGTATTGGATCACAAGTTGTCATCTCTAAATAGGATGTATGTTTGAAGGCCTACAAGATCCCTTTTCTACCCTAGTTGTAATAGTGGTTTAGGTAATTAGGTTCAAGCGAGAATAATTTTAGTGAAAAGCCATGAAAGGAGGACAGTAGAAAGCTTGACTTGCGTACAGTTGCTCTCAACAAACAACAACATTTAAGCTTCCATGTAACTTGGTGATTTTTATAGTTGAGTAATTGTTGTTGGCCTCCTATTTTTGGCTGCTTCTTTGTTCGAATTTGACGGTAGCATGATGTTATTGTGTACTTGTGTTGTATTGATTTGATTATGAATTGATATCTACTATTTTTATTCAATAATAAATACTTAAAAGAACACATAAGTATGTCAAAAAAAGTCTACAAAAAACTCATAATGCAGCACGTCCTTGTGCTGGTAAAGAATTCTTTTTTTTTTTTTGGAGAAAAAGGTGAAGAATTCTTCTCTCCGCAACATGTATTGCAACACTTGAATCAATTGTGGTCGTTCGCATACGATACCATCCTCTGATGGACAGGCTACGGTCGCGTCCTCGCGCTAGCCTGCTGTGCCCCGCGCACATACCTCTTCGCCCCTCGACATCAACCTTCACTCTTTGCTTCTGCTGCGCTAGTACCTCAGTCGACCTTCACCCTACGCTACTCCTAGCGTTTGTACCTCAATCGACCTTCACTCTACGCTCTCGCTAGCGTTACTTCCTCGGTTGAACGACATTCTCGACCGCTGCATCTTCAGCCTGTCGAGGTCCCCCACAACGGCGCAACACATGTGTATCTGCGTCCGGACCGCCTGATATGCACACCCAGGACCGCCTCTCAGTCGACCATTGGGTCCGCCCATACACGACCTATGCCGTACTAAGAGAGGAACTAGGCTCTTCATCCTAACCAGGCTTTGATACCACTTGTCACGGACATAGACTTCCGAAGTCCGTGAGGCGTCTTGAGGTGCACTCATTCCTCAAGACCAGCCTCTCTGCATACGCATGCCAACTGGTTTCGCCCTGCCTTGGGCTCATCAGGGAGATGGCAATAGCCTCCGACCAGTTGTGCCTTATCTTGCAATGATCCCCTTCATAGCCACATCCTGACTCGGCTATAAACGATGCACAGACAGACAACGCCTTATCGCTAATGT